CCCTTGATTGATACGACGGCTGGCCCGACACACATTAACAGTCACGCCACCAGCTCTACACACAACAGTAAGGACGTCGTTTTGCACGGCCAGCGTGAACTCAGATGGGAGCCGTAGATGATCCAGCTTGGCAAGGGGAGCTTTGCTCTGGTCTGGCTGGGCAAGGGGCGCTTTGCACATGCCCGAGGCAAGTCGACGCCGCTCTCGACGACGCGCCATGCCCGAAGATGCTGGCGCTGAACTGCCTTTCAGGAACGAAGCCGCGCTGCGGACACGGGGCGGCGTGCTCGAAGATGCGAGCGTGCGTCGTGTTCAAGGTGCCATAGACGAACTTCATGTCCGCGAACCGATGTCCGAGTGGCCGGGCGGCATCTGGGGGCCCGGCGACGTCGCACTCATCTTCATATGAGTCTGCGCAGCCCCTCGGCAGAAAATCTTCAAGTGCGTCACCAGGCGCCATGGACACGCGCTGGCCGCCCATCAACCAGCGGCAGGCCTGCCGCGACGCCTGAACGCCACGCCAGCGAGCCGCCCATGCCGCGCGCGGAAGACCGCCCACCCAAGAGGCTGATCTCGATGGAAGCATGCACTTCAAGACCGACTGCAGGATGCCGCGAGAGAAGGGGGGGGCACTAAGGCAACACGGCTGGATAAACATGCCGGGACAGGCGGTCGCGCCGGACGGGAAGGCGGCCGACTTCGAGAAGACTGGCGCCCAGCTTGCAATGAGAGCCTCCGAAATATCTGCCGCCAGAAAAACAACATACGCACGAAACTTGAGGGCACGCAGCGCGAGACATCTGATTGCAGGGGCCATGGGGGGCTGTCTCTGCATCCTGTCCCCGCGTCGCCATGGCAAGTGCCAGCGCCGGCGACGGGCGACCACGCCCTTTGCCGACCTATCCAGCAGCCTGACTCCTCGAGGCCCGCAGCTACTGCCGCTCGGCGGGACGCACCTGACCACGCCCAGAAGGCAGCGGGATCAACGTGAACCACTTCCCGACCGACAGCGTCAATACATCATGAACAGTACTGGGCGGATTACGAACTTGGATTGCGAGCGCCGCATCCTGCCCCCAGATAGGCCCAGCTGCCTAGCGCGCAAAAAAAAAGTTGGGCTTCAAGTGGGTCTGGTTCGCCATGGGAGACCGATAGCGTCGATGGCGGCCGCAGACAACAATATCCCGTTGCCGTCCAGCAATCAAGGATGCGGCACGGAAACCGTTAGACCGCGATTGTCAGCAATGAAAGAGTCAATCTTGTCCTCGAACTCCTTTCGCGTGCAAATGGACCGTGGAATGGGCTCGGCAGTAGCTCCATCGATGGGTCGTCGCCGAAGAACACTGCTGGCCGCCGCATGATCAGGAACCTATTTCCCCGAGAGCTGCCCAGAATTGCCGATAACCGCAATGGGGTGGGAGAACTGGCTTGGCATCCAGGCTCGGATATCCATGTGAGATGTAGACGGGTCAGCATTTTGGCGTCGCTGCAGTAGCGCGGGGGATCCTCGGGAGCGAACTCGAGCTTCCGGCAGAGGGCAGATAACCACCCCTTCGACTGCTTCCAGACAGCGCTCGCGGACTTGACGGGACAAGCAAGCTCGGGCTTGGCCAGGAAGAGCCGCTCGGCACCAGCAAAGTTGAAACCACCACAAAGAGACACAAATTTGGAGCGGTGACCACCCTGAGCCCATCGTGGAACCGCTGGGCCATTCTCGCGCACTTTTCGGAGCGGCCCCGGCGAAATACCATAATCATGAGCAAATCCGCATACGTAAATACGAAAATACGTCCTGAGCACACCTATCCCACTCCGAATTGGCGCAGAAGACGGGAGCGAAGCCGAAGAAGAAGCCGAGCGTTGCCAACCCACCACAACGATGTCCTTCCGTAGTCTCCTCGAGGAAACCATGCACGCAAGAATGCGACGCCACCCTTTCCATGCAGACCTTGAGCTCTCCAATATCTTGATGAATCTCTTCTGCCGTCATCGTTCGTGATGTCTGACTTGTGGAGGCGCGCCACTTTTCGCATTGCCATCTGACCGCGCCACTGAGGGAGGACACGAACATTCTCACTAACGGAAGAGATAGAAGCCGACAGCTATGGAAGGCCGCCTTCCACGCTGCGCTTGAAGATGCAACAACAAATACTAAGGTGACCACTCGGGCGCCGCCGTCCGCTCGAAGACCTGCTCGAAGCAACGGACGACCAGTTCTCAAGACCAACAACGCTGCACCAAAGGAGCAACACGTCAGAAACACCTGGCAGGGTCGCGGCCAGGCTAGGGCCTGAGCCGAAGAATGCGGCTTCAGCTTTCTGAAACCCAACCATCTCGACAGTCGAAAAGAAACTTGCGATCGGAGAAGTGCTCGCGCAACATGTTGGCGATCTTCGCGCCTGCGATTTCCATCTCGATCTGGAACGGGATCACGTCGGGACCAACGTGGAATTGAGTGGAGCGCCCCGACGCTGCAGGGACGGGCAAACGAGCCGATTGACCTTCACCAGGGAGACGCCGAACAGCAAAAGGTTTCTGCACCTCCGTGCCACCGATACCGCATGCACCCTTGAACTGGACAGAGAAGACCTTGCCCACGTCATTGCCGCCAGTTGTGAATCCGTCTGGAATATCAGCTGTCGTGAGCCCCGCGTCGGTGGACAGGACGGCGTCGGTCCTGCGCCCCATGATAAGGACCACTGACCTTGAGGATGGCACCGTCAACATCTTGCTTGAATGGAATCGAACCCAACCGTGGTGGAGGGTGCGCTCGACTGGCCATTGCGCGCTCGCTACACAAATGATCAGTGGAATCACGCATGTCGTCGATTTGCCGCAACAGGTCCGTCGGTCGCCTGGTTCTCCAAAGAACCAACCATTACAATCATAGCGTCGGTCTGGGATCGGAAGCGGCACCTGATAGAGCCGATATCAGGCCTGATCGAGTTTCCGACATTTTTCCCTGCACGAATCAGCGGATTGCTGAAAGGCGGTTCCCAGGGCTTTGATCGCAGCAAGAACTGGCGCATGGCATTTTCACGAGCTGCCTTGGCGCGTCCTGCTATGCAATCAGCCGGCTCGACCTTGATCTCTGCGAACTTGGAAGAAAGCCTCTCATCGATGAGGCCAGCGACGCACGGGCCCCAGGAGTTCGGGCCCATGCCACTGTCGCTGTCTTCGGAGGCGGAACGACCAAATCTGGAGAGGTCATCACCGCGCTCTTGTGAACCATCTTGCGAGAGCAACTGACCAGCGGAGTGAGAGCCAGGAACACAGGAACGCCGTTGCTGGCGTTGGCTGCCTTCTTCTTGCGCTTGACGGAAACATCGGGCATGCGGGTAGTGGCAGATAGGGCACCAAAAACTATGGAAACAAAAAAACCTGAATCTACCCACCGCTCAATCTGCCCTTGTGAAAGGTAGGCCCTGCCCCACCAGAAGCTCACCAAGAGCCGCGGTCTGGCCGCGGATCATCGGCGCCCACTTCACCCCCAGGGAACTGGGCACACTGCGCCAAAACGGCCCAACGGGCCAGGGCGTGCTAAGATCTCCGGTACCTGGTTAACAGTATTTCTAGTTCGCGCGCGCGGGGCGGCCCCTGGGGGTCCCCGGGCGAAAAGCACCCCGGCAAGGCCCCGGCAAGTCCCCAGCAAGTCCCCGGCAAGGTCGGGTCAGAGATGCCGGAGTTCTGTTTCGGAGTCCAAGAGGGCTCCAGATCGGTCCAAGAGGGCCCCGAGAAGCTTTCTAGACGGTCCAAGAGAGGCCCGAGACGGCCAAAGATCGCCCGAAGACGCCCCAGATGGCCCCAAGACAGCCCAAGAGGCCTCCAAGACGCTCCAAGGGCCTTCCAAGAGGCCTCCGAAGAGGGCCCCAAGTTGCCAAAATCGTTGATTTTCATTGGTTTGTTCGATGTTTTTTTGCGTTCTGGCCTTTTCGCTTCCGGACGCTCCAAGAGGGCCCAAGAGGCCTTCAAGACTGCTCCAAGACGGCCCACGAGGCTCCCAAGACGGCCCCGGAGCGGCCCAAGAGCGCCCCCCAGACGGCCCAAGTGCTGCCCAAGGCGGACCAAGAGGCCCCAAGACGGGCCCAAGAGGGGCTCAAGAAGGGAACCGAGAACTGAAAAATCGAGCCCTCCGCCCCAGAAGGCGCCCAGGACCCCGAAAGAGGCCCCAAGAGACTCTCCAAGACACCCCCAAGACGCCCCAATAAGCTCCCGTGAGGCCCCAAGAGGACCAACAACGTCAGGCCCCAGGCCCCAAGAGGACCAACAAATACCGCCAAGAGCCCGCCGAAAGCCCTCCAAGAGACCGCCACGAGAGCTCAGGAGGCCCCCTGGAGGCCTCCCGAGTTCTCCAAGAGGCCTAAAAAGAAGCGCCAAAAGGCCCCAAACGGCCCCACCGAGGCTCCAAGAGGCCACGAACGCGCAAGCAAACGCCTGCGATGGCACAATACGGGCCGGCGGAATGAGCGAAGCGATTAAATTCACCCCCAGGGAACTGGGCACACTGCGCAAAAATGGCAAAGGAGGGAAGAGGGAAGAAGAGGAGGAGGAGGAGCGACTCTTGGGGCGACTCTCTGGGGCGGGGGGGGCGAGCGTCGCGCCCTCCCCCCACCCGACCTAAGGCGCGGCTGCGGTCGCGCCTCGTCCCCATGTTAAGCCCTCGTCGCTGACCGTCCAGCACGCGTCTTCGAGGCTGCCCCAGGGCGGAGGCGGGTCCACTGGCCACATGCTCGTGGGCAGTAGAAGCCACGCACCCAGAACACCATCTCCATTGGGTCGCCCCGCACTGACAAGGCTCTGGGGCACGGGTCGCTCTTGTCGTCGATCCAGGGGTGGTCGATCTCCTCGGTAGCTGGGCACTCGTAGATGCGGTGGATCGGCGCGTCGTGGACCCCCAGTTCGCATCGCGCACATGTAGGTGCCGTCTTGTACCCCGCGGCGCGGGACTTTTGAGAAGTCAAGATGGCTGCGCGCGCTGCCGCTTCGAGGGCCCCAGCTTCCTGGCGTCGTTCAAGTTTGCGGAAATGCCTGGCACTCGCCTGCAGACTACGAACATCAGCCCCGCATTGAAGTCCTTGGCCTTCAGGGTGTCGGCTGGCTTGCCTCCAGAGACAGGCTGCTGCCACCTCCATGATAGCCGCCTCGACCTCAGCGAGGTCCGCAGAGTCGTCGCCGGTGATCCGCCACTGGCCGCCCGCGCGGTCGGCCCAGAGGTCGGGCCCAGGTGCCGCCCAACCGAGGAGCCCGAGCGCGAGCTGCATTGCGGCCATGGGCCCAGCGGCTGCTTGCCAGCGCCCTTGCTTAGTGACCTTGCTCAGGCACTCGCTGACGGCGCGCCAGCCCCCGCGGACGTGGTCGCGCAGGTCGGCGTTGCCTCGCCACATCTTGATCCACTCGCGGACCGGCCTGATGACGTTGGCCATCCACGGTTCCTTGTCGCCATGGGTGACCTGGGGGACGGTCGCTGCGCAACGGTGGCCCGCAGTGATGCCCGCCATGTCCGCTGCCTCCGCTCGGGTGCGCTGGATCTCGGGGGGCGTCGCCCCCACGGCTGCCTGCTTGCGCCACTGCTTGGCCCTGATGTGAATGCGGTAAAAGCTAGCAGCTCTCCGTCTCCAGCGGGCCGCGCGCAAGCGCAGCGCGCCTCGGCGCTTGCGTTGCCTGGCCAGTGCGGCGCGCTTGCGCTGCGCGACCTTCCGCCCGCGCCCCCCTATGGCCGCGTCGCAGCCCAAGTCCTTCATGACGGTGGCCCGGGCCAGGGTGAGCCCGTGTTCCGCAGCCACCTGGCCAACCGCATCCCTCACGGCAGCCGACGTGGACAGGAGGGCCGAATTGTTGGAGATGGGCAGCTGGTCGTTCTCGCGGCGGGTGGGGATCGCCTCGGCATTGGTCGCCAGTTGGTGTGCCGCGATGCTGGCGTGGCCCTCCGGTCGGATCTGGATGTCGCCCATGCACTCTCGGGGCCACACCTTATGGGGCCGGCTGCTGGCCAAACTCCAAGGCCGATTTGTTGGCATGGGCGCAGCCTGCCACGATGCCGTGGCACGGCGCCACTGGCGGACCGCAGGCACCTCCTGCACGTGCCGCGCGGGGGGCGCCACGTACATCAGGGAGCACATGCACAGCTCAACTGGAGGGCACTCCAAGGCCACGGCCTTGTGGATCAGCCAGGCGAGGCTGATGTTGTCGTAGAACTTCTCCAGATCCAAGAAGAGACTGGCCCGGGTTTCAACGGAGAGCCCACGGGCAGTGGCTCCTCCAGACAAGCCGCCACCAGGAAGGCCTGGAGGGTCGAGTTGCCTGCCACCGCTGCGCCCCAGAAGGTCGCCTTGTCGTCGCACCGCTGGCCGACCTCTGTCTTGGTGAGCGGCTCCAGATTCTGCCCACCATGGGGAAGAGGCCGATGAGTCCCCTCTCTTCCCCTGCTACCACGCGATCGTTCTTCTTCAGCAGTTGGTACCAGACGTGGTAGCATAGGCACGGCCAGGCCAGCCTCTTCTCGCACTCGTTGATGATGTGAACCAAGTCCTGGCGCGCTGGTGCCGGGAGGGCCAGGATCTCCGCGGGCCCCCACCGGTCGCTTCCTCGCCCCGTCTTCTTCTTCTCCTTGAACTGCCTGAGCGCCTTGTCCAGGTCCCCGCAGGTGTACTCGGTGCGCGCGTGGTTCGCCTGGTGGGCCTTCTCGCGGAGCTCGTCCATGGCCAGCTTCAGGTCCGAAGAATCAGTGTCCCGTTGCCACCGTGCTCCCCAAGCTGAGGCCCGTAAGTTAGCACCTTCTTGCAAGTCCCCTGCAGCTGTGCCAGTAGCAGGATCGATGGTGACCTCGCCGAGCTCCTTGCGCTCGGGCTTGCTGAGGTACCGGCGCCCCTCGCTCATGGAGCCCTGCAGGGCTTGCTCTGTCCAGCGGCGCACCGAGGTCTCGTTCGCCTGCCGCGCCTTCTTGGCGCGCGCCTCGGCTCGCACACGGACGGAGTCGACGGTGCCCGGCCAGACGTCCTCGTCGTCGTCACTGTCTAGGGCGCTCGAGGTGGTGGCGCGCGCCACGGCACAGCGAGGCGCCCTGTTGCCCTCGCACTCCCCGTCCAAGGTGATCTGCTGCGCGGCGGCGATGTCCCGGCACGTCTTGATGATCGCCTCGCAAACATGCGCCTTGGAGTTCTGCCCCCCTCGGGAGGCGATCCTCATCAACTCGGTGACTCGGCCCGCCTGGGTGCCCCGCACGTTGACTTCTGGCCGCCCGGCACCTTCGCAGTTGCCCCGACGCTGCTTGGCAAGGGTAGCGGCTGAGACCCACGTGCACTTCGTCGGCCGGCACCGGGCGCCGTGCTCGGCGGCGCGGTCTCGCATAGGGCGGCTAGGCAGTGCTCGGCGGCCATGGCCCACTTGCCGAACCGCTGGCCCAGGTAGTCGGCATTAGGAGGATTGGCCAGGCACGCGAGTGAGCGTGCAATCCAGCTTGGGGGGCCATCGACCTGGTGCTCCACGAACATCTGGACTGCTGGGTCCCAACCGTCGGGGTCGCATACCGCTGGCACAACCGTGGCGGGCGTGCCACTGAGGAGGTGTAACTGTGCTTCCAGATCGGCCTCACACATCCCACCCTCCAGGAACTGGTCGTACTGGTGGCGTTTCCGCTGGGCGCGTTTGACGCCCTTGTCCACCTGCAGCTGGACGTTCGGCACCTCGTAGTCGCGCGCCACCTTTGGCACGCGAAGTTGAACTTCTCCAGGTCTGGCAGCAATGGTGAGCCGCAGTCAAATATGAGGCCCCCAGGGTACCTGTCGGACGACCTCGAACCCACGAACGAAAGGTCGAGCGCCCTCGGAAAAGACGACGCAGTCGACAATCCTGCCGCGCCCACTGGTGCACGCGATGTCAGCATCGAGCGGCAGTAGGAGGCGGCCTTCGGGAGCGCCAGGCCATCGCGAGGACCCCATATCCTCAGGGGTGCAGTTGATGAACCACGGCACGCCCAGCGAGCGCATCAGCCTCAACAGGTTGCCCATCTGCGTGGCGCTGGCCCCCTTGGGACCGATGCTGCAGTCCAGATAACAGCTGATGAACGCGAAGGTGCCGTTCTGGACGCAATCGATCGTGACCATGAAGTCCGTCTACTGGTCGTGGAAGACACCTCAACCCGTCTTGTCAACCAAGTGCGAAAAGGTGTTGAGCTCGTTGCGCCGAAGCCAGCATGCGCCCCCATGCGTGTCAGCACGCTTGCCAAGCGGCGCTGCCCGCGCGCTGGGGGTGGCAGCTGTCCATGAGTGAAGTGAGCGGCAGCCAAGCTTCCTGAGGCGCTGCTCCTCAGCGTCGCACTGCTCCTTGCCAAAGTGGTGCTCCGCCAAGCCGAGCAGGTCGAACGCTCGGCCTGCCTCGACGAAGGCCTTGGCCGCGTCGCTGTACTGGCTGCAACTGCCAGAGAAGACCTGCAGGCACCCGCGGTGCTTGAGCGGCTTCCAGCTGCCCAGGCTGGAGACCTGCCTCTTCCACTCCTAGGTATCCGTGCTCGCGCTGGCTGCCGCTGGGCTGCCAGCCGCCTTATCATCGAGGCCCTCTGAAGGGTTCGGCGAGACGCCTCCCCCATACAGGCAGCCCCGCATGTCGTCGCTGTCGTTCGCGCGCTGGAACGATGACTGCTGCCGGCAGTCGGGCCCAGGCCCCCAGTGCACGTCGCCCTCGAAGCGCACCTGCTTGAAGCCCATGTCGTCGCAGTAGTAGTAGCTACTGGCCTGCCCTTTGAGGAAGACAGGATTCCATCGGCGGTGGATGGGACAATGCGTCGCAGGCTGTCCCCAACTGCGCAGCCAGGTACTTGGTCCTTAGGGCGCCGCTCCCAGCGGGACCGGCGCCCCCAGGCCGCGCCTCTCGCCACCTCTCTTGCCGAACGACACGGAGTCGCCTCCTGCCGCCGTGCCGTCGTTATCTGCGCTACCCAGGAGCCTGCCGTGGGCCGTCAGCACGGGCCCCGCCAGCAGGAGCAGGATCTTCAGCAGCAGCAGGGGCAGCCTTGTCGGGAACGACGTCGCCACCTTTCGCGACGGCGACCTTCTACTCGATGTACTTGGCCATCTGGTCGGGGTCGGAGAAGTCGACGGGGCCGCTGCCATCACTGCTGCCCGCGCCTCCTGCCTCGGCTGCCTTGGGACTGCCCTCAGCCTCTAGTGGCGGCGGGGCAGCAGCGCCCTTGCCGTCCTCTCCGCGCCTTCGCCTGTGGCTCTGGACCTTGGCCTGCAGCTCGCGGAGCGTGGCCGCCACCTCCTTGACCGAGCAGCCCTCCTTCTTGCAAGCCTCGAACATACCCTTGGCCTGGGCGGCCAGTCCCGCCGCGTGCTGGTACTTGGCTCGTCTGGGCTCGCCGAACAGCTCGAGGTCCTCCTCGTCGAGCTCGGGGAAATCCTCCCACGCGTCGGGCGCCACGGTTGTATACGGTTGTGCTGGTGCCGTCGACCACCGCGCCTTTGCCTCCACAAGCCTGCTGGACCTCGTGCTGCAGGAAGTCCAGCTCCGGATTGGCCGCGAGGACCTCTCCGATGGCCTCGTCCAGTTTCGTGATGAGCTCCTCGCGGGTCTGCTCGTCGCGCGTGAGCTGCCCTGCTACCTTCTCCTGGTGTTGCTGGGCCTGGCGCCAGCGCAGGGCCGCGGCCTCCAGGCGCACCCCGAGCTTGGGTTCGGGCGGCGGTGGCTCTGGCGGCGCAGGCGTGAGCACGGGGAGCTTGGCCAGCTGGGCGGCTGCCTCCGCCGTGGCCCCGTCCCCAGCCTTGGCGGCTGTGAGGACTGCCTGCAGTGTTTGCAGG